AAAAAATAAAAATAAACCCACAAAGAAAGGGAAGCCATGAATCTCACAGCTGCCAGAGGGTAGAAAAGGAGAAGAGAAGGAAAAAGAGAAGACACCGTGTGAGATGATCCAGCATTGAGGTCAACTAGATAGCAGGTAAGGGAGCTTTAGAGAAAGAGCAAGGAAGCACTAAATCTCAGAAAAGACAAAACTAAACTTTGACAGCACATGAAAGAAAAAGACAAAAGAACAAGGAATATTCCTGACTCAGAAAACGGGACAGACAGAGGCAAACCAATGGCAGTTGGTAGGGACTTCACTAGAGGTAAGAATTCTGGGAAGGACAAGTACATTATCTCAAGGCAGACCTGCCTTTCTAGGAGTGATCTCTTAGACAATGCCCCTTGCTGGGATGCTCAGTAAAGTATGCCTTCTCCTTTCCTTCTTTTCTCTCTTTATCTTTTGGATACTGGCCATATCTGGGCACGCTTTCCCTGACATGCTGTCTTTTCATTCCTCTCGTGAAGCCTGCACCACGTGTCTTCTGCTGACTTCTTCCTGCCCTCCACACTGCCTGCTCTCTATCCCTGTCTCTCAAATGGCCTGGCGTCCCAGTTTTCTTGTCTCTCTCGGTCTCCCTTCTCCTGGAGCCGCTGAGATTTACACCTTGCCTCTCTAGTTCTTTTTCCCACAAATGCTAATAAACTTGCCTCCAAATTTTCTTCTGGATACATTTCTAAATTCTTTTACTGACCAGACTAAGAACCCAAAAGAGAGAAGCCCAGTTTCCCCAACAACATGTCATTTTAGTAGTCTGTCTTTGATGTCTTATCTGGAGGAAGAGACATTTCTCCAAGTCTTCCCAGAAAAACTAATTCAACAATAGGGTTGTGAAATTACTTTCCTCTTTGAAAGAAAATAACAGGGGGGGGGGGAGACATACTGTTGCTACTTGGAGTTTCCACAGGGTTCCCTGAGGTTTTAGATCCATTGTGTATATTCAAGAGCAAATCACAAGATTTTGTGTTGGCTATTCTATAAGATTGGTGGCCACATTAAAAAAAAATGAGTTCAGTGGATATATTCTTTGCTAGAAAGACAAAATTTTGAATGTGAAAATACATTATTGGATTATGAAAATCACCACCATAAAGGATTAAGGTTTCTGGTGGACGTTCCATATACTTTAGGAGTTTATGAATCATTTCAAAACATCATCATAGGATGAAAAATTGAATTCTAATTAAAGACACTGTGGTGTTTTGAATGAGAATGTCCCCCTTAAACTCATAAGTTGAAATGATTGGTCCTTAGTTGATGGAACTGTTTGGGAAGTGTTAGGAGAGGCAATCTTGTTGGAAGAAGTATGCCACTATGGGTGGGCTCTGAGGTTTTGGAAGCCCACGTCATCCTTCCCCTCACTAACACTGTCTCGTGCTTCTGGGTCAGATGTTATCTCCAGTGCCATCCTCAGCATGTTGATCATGAAATAACCCTCTAAAGCTGTAATCCCTCAATAAACTATTTCATCTCTAAGTTTCCTTGGTCATGATGTCTCTTCACAGCAATATCAAAGTAACTAAGACAGACACCTACTTTAGACTAACTATAAACCCACCATGATATCAGGGCCTAATTTCAGTGTCTAATTTTATAATGAAATGGTAAATTGAAAAAAATACTGTAGATTGGCTAACTTTTACATGGCTCATAAAACTTGTACTGTCTATGGGAATCCATATTTTTAAATAACTACGAATGAAAATTTTAATCCTGTTCTGTCACTAATTTGTTTTATAATCTTTTCCTTATTCCATCATAAAATATGCATTAACATAATAATCTTCTTAAAAGGATCCTATGAGATCTAATTAGTATATTAGTGCATGTGTATACATGTGTATGTATATATAACAGTCTGGGAATAAAGATATATTACATATTTAGCATATACACTATGTATAGTGAATTTATATATAATTATATCTTTATAGATATGTAGTATATATAGTAATTCGTCTTTGAGAATATTTTATGTTATATATATGTACATATAATATTGTACTGAAGTTGCAAAGCAAACTTTATAAGCATGACACATTTTCAATGTGAATAGCTTAGTGTTCTCTATGCCAATATTGGAATCTAAAATAATGGTAGTAGCTTTGCTTTCCAAAAACAAAAGGAGAAACATTCTTTTCTTAAAGCACCCAATGCCCCTAGTTATTCAACTATTGTTAAAAGAACCTTAGTACTTTTCTACTATGAACCGAAAATCATATACAATAAATTCATTGTAAATAAGGAAAGTGACTGCTACAGTAGCCTTGGACTGTGAATGTCTCTAATGACACACTGACACCATCCATGATGCATTACTGTTCTATGAGTGGGTTGCTCATGGTCCATATAAAGAGACAAATGTTAATTTAAAACAAAACTGAATGAAACATTGTCTATGGAGAAAAAGGCGACAGTATAAAGGGGTGGGGGAAATTCTGACTGTCACAATGACAACCCCAAATTTTCTTCTGTTTGTTCTGCTAAACTGAAAGCAATAACAAGCCATCATGCACCTATTATGGGTTAATTTCCATAACTTTTCAGTGGTTAAAAAGCAAATGCCCAATCATTTACATATTCCCAGTATGTATCAACAGTGACAGTGTCAGGTTCCCCCAAAGTATAGAATTTATCATTGCATAATCCACTTCCTTTGCCTGCCAAATCTCTCATGCATATATACATAGATATACATAAGTGCATATATATGCACATATATATCAGCATCTTTCTAATAGCAGAATTATTTGAACTCATCCTGCCTACCATCTTCTATTCTCACATACTTTACTAATAAAGGATAATCTTTGAATTTCATCTGTGCTCCAGGTATTACCCTCTTCTGTTTCTCCTGCATGTCACTGAAGTCGGCTCTGTCTGTTGATGCCAAGATTATAAATTAGAGGAATTAAGAGTGGAACTGGAGACCAAGGACAGATTGCAGGATGGGTAAACTGAGGTTTCTCATGCTGCTTTGTGCTGTAGGGATGGAGTAGCTTTTCAGGCTATTTGGTTCTATGAAGAATCCACTTCAAAGGGTGAAGTGTAACTCCACAGCATGACAGTAGGTTCAGTGAAGCCTGACACAGCACAACAGCAGGAGATAGAAACACTACCCTAATCCATGCCTGTTCATCCTATCTCTCTTCACTCTGCATCTGTTCACCCCATACCTGCTCACACTTCATGGTTTTCTACATTCCAACTCCAAAACAATATCTACCATGGGATTCATTTTTTTTAAATTGTTTTCTTCATCAACAGATAGCACCATAAGCTGGAGAA